TTTTTTTTTTTTTTTTTTTTTTTTTTTTTTTTTTTTTTTTTTTTTTTTTTTTTTTTTTTTTTTTTTTTTTTTTTGTTATTATTGCTTGTTTTTTTTTTTTCGTAGTTTTAATTTTAATAATATATATATATATTTTTTTTTGGTATGCATGTGTACATGGAGACAACCGGCGTGATTGATTCGATGGATTATTTATTGTGAAGCACTTATTTATTCGTAGCTTGGTTGTCTGGATGCTTGGGTGGACTAGGCTTATTGTGATAACACCTTCGTTCAGTGTGGCCAATTCTTTTGCATGTCAAACAGGCGTGCACTCGTTTGCAATTGTTCTCTTCAGAACATCCTCTATGATTCTTGAGATATGAGGCTGTTAGACCACCTGCACCAATTATGATTGCACAAATAAAATACCTTAGAGGGAAATTGTAGTGGATTATGCTTGCAGGTATACCAACTTGGGAGCTCATTTCTAATTGATGCAGATCTGTCTGCCATCATGCTAAGCGATGTCGTTTTTAAAAGTGCGAGTCATGGTGTAATTCCGATGTCTTTTTGTTGTGATAACATCAAAGTTGTCTTCTTCTGCTTCTATGTTCTGGTCAAGTAAAGTTGAATCTCTGTTTGTGGTGACAAAAGCCTATGATCTTTGTTATATGCTGCTACAGTATCGAATTCATGTTTTATACACAGAGCGTTAATATGATCACAGTATGCATTTAGTTCATTTTCTCTGATATTATAAATGATCAATACAGCCTCCATGTATGCTCTAAAAGCAAGAAGCCAATCAGTTATGTCAGTGAATCTCTAGTGGCAACTTGGTTTCTTGACCGTGATGATTTCGCCTTCAGCAGTTTGTAAGGTTTGTTCGTTCTTATTGTTTTTTAAGTTAACCTTGAGTGTTTTGTGTGTAAATTCATGCAGGTCAGCATAATTCCCAGTGGCAACCGTTTTCTACAATTGTGAAGGAAGGCTGGGTTTGTTAGGTAGCATTTCAATTGCTTTCTGGCCCTCATACTAGTTGAGAATCTACCAAAGACGAATTTGTTCCATACTTGTTGCATGTGGGTTGTTAAAACCACAGACTGGGGAAAGATCATTGGAGCTATAGTCGAAAGATGAGTATCTTCGTGTAGTTACTTTGACCTTTAGAATACCATTTGTAGTAAAGGTGGTGCGTGCAGCTTCTTGGGTTGCGCCGTGTGAATTGGAGCTAATTATAAGGTTATTGAGAATTGGAGTTAAAGGACAATTACCTTGTTGGTTTGTATTATGAGTGTTATTATTTTTTTCGTGACTGTCAGATTGTGCTAAATTGAATTCGTAGTTATGAGTTTGCGGCGCAATGTTGCTATGTTGAAGGTTAGTATTGCTGGGTTGTGAAGTTTGCTCTTTGTTGTTAAGTTGATTGAAGCATAGGTCTAGTTGTTCGTTTAATTTGTTAATCAAGTTTGTTTGTATTGCCGTGTTTTGATCGATATAAGCTTTAATGGTTGAGATTATTGCGTTTGCCGATTTTTGGCATGTGTTGTCTATGTACGCTCTCGTATTACTATCAATTTAAGTTAGATCTATGATGGTAGGTAAACGATTGGATGAATCATTGTCAGAAAACTGGTTATTGCTTGAGTGGTCACTGTTTTTGTTCATGATTAAGGAAGCAACTAGCAGAAGAAAGTTTGGGTTGGAGGTTGTTGCTTGGAGGTTGTTACTTGGTAGATTGTCGAGTATTTATCTGTAGGCCAGTAGTGCATTGAGTAGGTGGTGATGTCTCTGATTGGCTATAGTCATATCATGTGTGTGGTGCCTGTATGGTACAAATATATTATGCTGCATTTGTGGCTTTGGTTATACAATGCTATTCTGCCCCTTTTTTCAAATAGTTGACTTTTGTCAACTCATAAGAAACTTGCACCCACCCGGTATATATATAATTTTTGGATTTATATCAAAAGTTTAAAGCAATCTTTTGACATTTCCAATTGGGTTAATTCGGACAAAAATAAACCTGAGTACCGGTACTGGTACCGGTTTATGTTCACATGTTAATCATCTTTTATCGAATAATTATTGAACCAATAAAAGTAAAAGATGATTAACATATGAATATGAACTGGTACTTGGGTTTATTTTGGGATCAGGTGAGGTTAGGGTTGTTATAACTTACTTTATATAGTAAATTATCTGTAACTTATCTGTAAGTTACAATATAGATATTAATGTTAGCCAAATCATATGACAATTTCTACCAATGGTGGCTAGACAAATGACTAATTAGGTAAATCAAATCATAGTATAATTTAGGCCAAATTTATAAATTGTGTTATTTTTAATTTATATGTATAACTTACATACCTTACAACATAAATTACAATGTAATTTACTGACAGTAAATTATATGTAACTTACATAAAATTTAACAACCCTAGGTGAGGTTCTTTCGTGCTAATCCGAAACAATCAAATTTAAAATTTCCGATTGGCTAATTCAAGCCTGCATTATAAAGCTGACCAGAATTATGTCATCTGGCCTGAATTATAAAAATACACTGCACAGCCTCTCAAAAAATGCTGCACAGGCTGGGCAGCCTGTGCAGTGCCCATCCCTAGCCAAGACAGGTTTAGACTGCTGTTTTGCATATTTTTCCGTCATTTGATTTCTTAGACTTATCTGTGTAAGCAAAAGTTCATAATTATGATTTGTGATCTGCATAATATAATCTACCTCAATATTGCCACCAAAAAGCTACTGATATGTGATCTTTGGTAAAATTCTTTAAAGCTTATTTAGATTTGGGTTAGGGTCTATATTAAGGTTTGGGTTTGCTTAAAGAAAACTTTTGTTAATGCACGAAGGTTATTTCCTATGCAAAATTTCGAGTTACAGGTGATTTTTGACAAAACGAACATTTGTTTTGAAATTTCCTGGTCCTGTAAGGCCTGACCAATTTGATTTTGTGGTTTACATTACCTCCTTTTGACCTCCTACCCTCTCTCTTAGTAAAAAAAAA